CTTGTGAGAATAATGATAGATGGAAGGCTGCCATGGAAGAAGAGATGAATTCTGTACACAAGAATCAGACATGGGAGTTGGATGTTCTTCCCGAAGGGAAGAGAGCTATTGATTGTAGGTGGATTTACACAAGGAAGTCATCGGTAACAGAAAAAAGAGGGGAAAGGTTCAAGGCTCGTTTGGTGGCTAAAGGATACTCACAGCAAAAGGGGATTGACTATGATGAGACATTTTCCCCTGTGGTTAGACATACTTCGATCAGGGCTGTACTTGCATTGACAGCTAGTTGGGATTTGCATTTGGAGCAGATGGATGTGAAGACTGCTTTCTTGCATGGTGATCTCGCAGAGCCTATTTTCATGCAGCAGCCAGAGGGCTTCGTTCAACCAGGGAATAAGCATTTATATTGCAGGTTGAAGAAATCCTTGTATGGCTTGAAGCAAGCATCGCGGCAGTGGAATATACTGTTTGATTCGTATATGGTGAAGATTGGCTACAAGCGTTGTGATTTTGATTGATGTGTTTACACCAAGAGCCTTGGTGATGGTTCTATGATTTTTCTGCTACTTTATGTTGATGACATGCTTATTGCTGCCAAGAATATGCGTGATATTATTGATCTGAAAAGCCTTTTGAATCAGGAATTTGAGATGAAGGATTTGGGGGCTGCGAAGAAGATTCTTGGGATGGAGATTCACAGGGATAGAGGATCAAAGAAGCTGTGGTTATCTCAGAAGGGTTATGTGGAGAAGGTGCTACAGAGGTTTGGGATGAATGATGCAAAACCGGTGAGCACTCCATTAGCAAACCACTTCAAGCTTTCTGTTGATCAGTGTCCCAAGTCGGACAAGGAGACTCAGGATATGGTGGAGATACCTTATGCCAGTGCTGTTGGATGTCTGATGTATGCCATGTTATGTACTCGTCCTGATTTAGCTCATGTTGTTGGTCAAGTTTGCAAGTATATGTCTAGGCTGGGTAAACGGCATTGGGAGGCAGTCAAATGGATTTTCAGATATTTGAAAGGTACTGCGGGACATGGTATTGTGTTTGGAGATCAGCGGTTGGATCCTTTGGTTGTAGGATATGTGGATTCTGATTATGCTGGGGACTTGGATAATAGGAGATCTACCATTGGGTATGTCTTTACTTTTGGTGGAGGGCCTATTTGTTGGAGGTCGAATACTCAGCCTATAGTTGCTCTATCTACAACTGAAGCTGAGTATATTGCTTTGGCTGAAGCGGCAAAGGAAGCAGTGTGGCTTGCTGGATTGGTTAGAGAGTTGGGTATTCAGCAAGGTGGAGTTCTAGTATATTGTGACAGTCAGAGTGCCATTCATTTGGCTAAGAATCAGATATATCATGCTAGGACGAAGCATATTGATGTGAGGTTCCACAAGATTAGGGAATGGATTGCATCTGGTGATATTCAGTTGGAGAAAGTTGATACTGAAGAGAATGCTGCTGATATGTTGACTAAGACTGTTACTTCTGACAAATTCAAGCATTGCTTGGATTTGTTGAATGTTTCTGCATGCTAGAGTTGCATGGTACGGGCCTGCTTGGTGTGTCTCGCAGAGGTGCTCGGTATTGTGTTCTCCTAAGGAGGTGATATATTCGCCAAGGTGGAGATTTGTTGGTATGGCTCATATATTGACAAAGGAAGAGG